ACCAATGGTAACGAAAAACCCAAGCAGGGCTCTCATTGCCCTCTGTCCCCCGACCCCCTCACCTTGTCTACGGGCCTCACTAAAGCGCGGGAATAGGTTTTTCATCAAGACTCCCCTGCCCGGAATTCTGAAGATTCCCAGTCGATAAAGCTGGTTGCAAGAACGAACAGAGGTCAGACGTAGGGTTGTAGAATCCTAGCCTGTCTGAGCTGGAAGGAACCTTGGAGACAGTCCCACACCAGCCCTTGATTTCTCCTTTTCCAGAGAAAGAAACTGCCTCTGCCCACACAGCAATCAATAATAGGGCTGGGGCGGGACCCACCCCCTGCTCTGGGCCACTAGATCCTTTCCACCAAACCACAGCACACTCCACATTCAAGTTTGCTCATTTCCTGGCCCCAATTCATCATTCTGGGATTTAACACCCTAAATAAACTGTGCAGAATTCCCAGGAACTCTTTAAGAGTCCAGTCCCACGTGTGGCATGAAACCGTCAGAAACTGCAGACAAGAGGCTCACACGTGTGACTGTGGATGGCACATCTCTAAACCCCTCCCCTCCAGACTGAAATCTTTGATGTCATTGGGAATCTCTTCTTCCAGGAGAGAGTACACAGAATTTCCATTTCTCCCCAATGACAAGTCGGAGAGTTTGCAAAGTTATAAACTGTTTTTCATGACCAAAAGGATTAGTCTCTCTATATCCCTACCTCATGAAACGCAAGAGGTCCAAGAGATCATTTTCAGCCCAAGGAACCCACCACGAAGTTGAGTGCAAACATCGTCATTCATTACTCAGCTGGATCTTCTTTGAGAGGGATTTCATCATAACACGATTTGGACAAGCTCGCAGAATAATATTAAAACCATAAACTATGTAGAAGTGCACGTGGTGGCAGGCACAGGGTCTAAGTTGGGAACGCTGAAAGTTATTATCACGTTCCAAATTTAGTGTCACAATGTCTAACCACAGCTCATAATGTTACCTATCAGACTGTTCAGGCATCTTTATTTCTTGTCGGGAAAAAAAAGTTGTCTCCTGTCTTGTTGGACAGTCTGAGTATCTATCTTATATCAAAGACAACAAAATATGTAATTTTACGTATTCCTGTACCCATAAGTTTAGTACAAAAGGACTTTGAACTCAAACTGAATACTCTTTTTTTTTTTTTTGCGGTACGCGGGCCTCTCACCACTGCGGCCTCTCCCGCTGCGGAGCACAGGCTCCGGACACGCAGGCTCAGTGGCCATGGCTCACGGGCCCAGCCGCTCCACGGCACGTGGGATCCTCCCGGACCGGGGCACGAACCCGCGTCCCCTGCATCGGCAGGCGGACTCTCAACCACTGCGCCACCAGGGAAGCCCTGAAACTGAATACTCTTGTTCAGAACTCCATTTGTGAGAGTCACAGCAGAGCAGCAAATGAAGAACATTATATGTTACATGCAACTTATCTTGCCTTTTATTTTTTCCAGTGAGACTGAAGAAGAGAAAAAAAGAGTCAGTGTTTATAAGTCACTTCCTGAAGTCTGAAGAATTACCCCTTTCGTCATTGTAATTTGGTGATCAGCTCCTTCAGTGTGTAATAAACTGTCCGTGGGAAATATGGGACTTTTATTTGTCACGGAATTTGCAGAGAATACATCAGCCCACTGGAGCTCTTGGCACCATGTGTGTTTTCTGGGTTTGAGCTTTGATGGTGCACCAGGACCAAAGAAATGGGGCAACGGTACAATAAGCCACACAGAGAAAGACAAATACTCTATGCACTATATGAGACATCAAACTCCTAGAAACAGAGAGGAGAATGGTGGTTGCCAGGGGCTGGGGGAACTGCGGAGATGTTGGCCAAAGGGTACAAACTCCCAGTTATAAAATGAATGAATAAGCCCTGGGGACCCACAGCAGGATGATGACAGTTAACAATACTGTATCATAAACTGAAAGTAGCTCAAATGGTAGATCTTAAATATTCTCATCACAGAAAAAAAAAGAAATGGCAATTATGTGAGGTGATGGACATATTAACTAACCTCACTGTGGTCCTCATTTTACGACATATACATGTATCAAATCATCACATTGTACACCTTAAAATTACACAGTTTTATGTCAATTTTATCTCAACAGAGCTGGGATAAAAGATAACTAGATGGAGATGAGTATCAGATGACAGGGCTAAGATATGTGGGTACCACCTAAGCACTAGAACTAGGAGAACATCTTCTCCTGGTCCTGCCACTTATTGGGTCTATAACTTGTAGCAAGTTACTTAATAACCCAGATTGCTTCCATTTTCTCGTTTCTAAAACCAGGATAACAATAATAATACCTCCTTCATAGAACTGTGGAAGTACTGGGTTGGCCAAAAAGTTCATATTACAGAAAAACCCAAACGAACTTTTTGGCCAACGCAACAAATGACTAAAAGATCTTAGCTGGGCTTCCCTGGTGGCGCAGTGGTTGAGAGTCCGCCTGCCGATGCAGGGGACACGGGTTCGTGCCCCGGTCTGGGAAGATCCCCCATGCCGCGGAGCGGCTGGGCCCGTGAGCCATGGCCGCTGAGCCTGCGCGTCCGGAGCCTGTGCTCCGCAACGGGAGAGGCCACAACGGTGAGAGGCCCGCGTACCCCAAAAAAAAAAAAAAAAAAAAAGATCTTAGCCAACGGGTCCTGGATCATAGTAAACCCTCAAAAATGTTAGCTGTTTCTCTCCTCCTAACACCCAAGGAATCCTTTTCTTCGGGTTCCTAATTTGCCTTTGATATCTTCTCCTTTGGCTTTTCAAACATGAAAGTGTCATATTTCAGGAAATTGTTGGGTCAAAATCTACACGCGCTGTTAAGACTGCTAATGACTCCAAATTGCCCTTCAAAAATACTAGTACATTTTACACTACATGTGCACACAGAGCTGACAGGCGAAACCAATAAGTAATTTCAAAGACCATGAGAAACGTACTAAGTGCACGGAAGCATCTGCTGTGTATGTATTTTCAATGAAAGAAACTGCAATTATTTTGATAGCTATGAGAAGTGTTTCTATATAAAAAGACATAAACTATCATGCTTACTCCACTCCAAAAAAAGAAGAGAAATGGGGCGACGATATCATGCCCCTCCCACCCCTCTTCCTTCATCCATTTGTCTTGACCTCACCGTATTTCCGTGAAAGAACAGAAGGCATTAATCGAGTCCCTTCATGGTTCCTTACCAAACCCAGCTTCAGCTGGTCCCACTTCTCCCTTCTTGCCTCTGCTCACAGGTCAGAAGAGGCTCTGTCCTTCCCACAGACCAGTCACTGCACGTGTGTCAGGACCTAGCTCCCTCTAGCCTCTGATCTGCCTTCAAATCTTCAATGTCCAGACATTCCTCCCTGGATTCCACATCCTGCGCCACCCACCACTCCCTCGCCCCCACTCCCAGGATCCCCACCAGTACAAAAGCACGCACCTGAGCCTCCCATCTTGAGCCAAGAACACACTCTCTTTTTTGGGGGGGGAGCATGCCCTGTGGCTTGTGGGGTCTCAGTCCCCTGACCAGGGACTGAACCCAGGCCACAGCAGTGAAAGCACCAAGTCCCAACCACTAGGCCCCCAGGGAACTCCTGAGAACACTCTCCCTTGACCCCACGCCCCCATCTTCACTCAGGAGGCAGCCTCACACCAGCCCTGCTCCTTCACCACGTGTTCATGAACAACCCACTCCCCTGGGGCTTCTGCACCCACAACTCCATGGAAACTGCCCCTCCTAAAGTTACCACGGTACCTCCTTCTTTGCTCGGATTTGAATGACGGCACCCCCCAGCGTTCAGCCCTCAGACCCACTGGCAGACTTCCGCAGCCCCGTGCCCACCCCACGTTCCCTCAGCACTGACCATACCTGAGCGTGCAGTCCCAACGGCTTCAACCACAGGCAACCGCACCCTGCCCGAGGGCCTTTCCTGGTCACTGGAGTGTGCTCAGCTCACACGGGCAGACCAGAAGGGCCGGGGGTCAGTACCTCCTGGAAGCAGCTCTCAACCCATGGCTGACGGGATCGGTGGATGAATACCCCAGCCCCCTCACTGTTTTGGAGGGATAACCTTGAAGCATGTACTACAATACCTACCAGAGTTCCCACACTGGGTTGAGCCCCACTGTGATTATTTAATGCTCTCTTGTCTGGAGTTGCTATGGACCCGAGTCGTGCCCCCCCCCGCCCCCCGCCACAAATTCATATGTTGAAGTCCTAACCCCAATGTGATGTTATTTAGAGATGGGGGCCTTTGGGAGGTAATGAGGTTTAGATGAGGTCATGAGGGTGGGGCCCTCATGATGGGATTAGTGTCCTTATAAGAAGAGACACCAGAGATATCGCTCTCCCCCACACTCCCCCCCTTTCCCTCCCTCCCCACCTTGTAAGGACACAGTGAGGAAGTGACAATCTGCAAACCAGGAAGAGGACCTTCAACAGAACCCAATCATGCTGGCACCCTGATCTCAGACTTTCCACCTCCAGAACTGTGAGAAATAAATTACTGTGGTTTAAGCCACCAATTCTACAGTATTTTGTTATGGCAGCCTGCACTAAGACAGGGTTAGAAGAAACAGACTGAAGCCAGCTGGTTCAAGCGGCGACAACAGGCTAGAGATACGAACCCAGGAGGCCTCGGCAGATAGACAAGTTGATGAAACAATAAAAGGGGGATAAGGTACTTTCTATCTCACAGGGTGGTTGTGAGGATTGAAGCAGATGCCTCACACCCTCCGTTCAGCTCGTGTGAGGGCACATATGAAAGGCTTGGTAAGTGGGACAGTTCTTACTGTTCTTATTTGCAGGTCACACAAGGAAACGTTCTTAGAATCATAAAATCTCGGAGAGATCATCCAGCTCCTTTGCAGGTAGGGAAACAAAGGCCAAGGCAGGAAAACTGACTTGCCTGGCATTTTCCCACCATTAAAGTTTGTTTTTATAAGATTTACAGACTCAGCAGTAAAGAAGGAAGGCGAGATTTAACTGTACCTTGACAGTCAATTAGACAGGAGCGCACCAATAAACCTTCTCAATGCCAAGGCTGATGAGCTTTGGTCCTGATTCTGTGACTGCTTCCCTCGTCTGATGCTGCTGGCCTCTCCTCCTATTGAAACTCTTCTGACTTGGTTTCCATAAAACGACGCTCTCCTGATTTCCTAGGAAAGAAGAGCGACAAGAAAAAAATTAAAAGGCAGAAGGGAAAGTGACTTAGGGTGGGTTCCCTAGAAGCAGAGCCCATGGCAGGATTGGGGTAGCCCTGAGTCCGTGAGGAGGGCTCTCAGGATGCGGGGAGTGAGGGAAGCGGGACAGAGGAGGAGCTAAGAAGGATGCAACCTTGAGCAGAGGCTAGCCTGATCCCGTGGGGAGCCCTGGAGCATGAACTGCACCGAAAGTTGGCCCTACGTGGCAAAGGAAACCAGCATTGTGTGCCTCAAGTTAGTCAGTGCCCTGAACGGGCAGCCACGGCAGGAACAGGGGACGTTCCAGGGCAGCTGCTCATCCGGCAGCCCCCTTTTGGCTGAGGGCAAGTCTGCAAAGAAGGGGGCAGCTGGGAGTCATTAGCACCCAACCTCACAGCCGCTGGTCGAGCCCCAGTTGCATCAAAAGGAAGGGAGGGAGGAATGAGGGAAGGAAGGAAGGATGCATTAAGTGATCACCAGAGAAGTGCTCTAGAGGCAATAACAATTCTCATTATTGCAATCTTCCTGAAAACCCAACCAAGTCAGGAGGTAGGTGTTACTAGCTTCAGTTTATTGATGTGGAAAATTTGGGGGTGGGGGGGGTGTCCGAGATTTCGAAGGAACAATGAAGTGACCCCCAGCCCCAGAAAACGACCAACCAATGTGAGAAAGTGTCAGATTATTCACTTTTAAAGAGCAGCCCACAGAGCCCAAAAGGACCTCAACAAGCCCTAGTCCTAGAATTAAGGAGCAGGTATCCAAGACCTGAACTCCCTGTACTCCTTAACCTTTCCAGGCCTCAGGTTCCAAGTCTGTGAAATGGGCAGGACATGAACTGACTGTGGCAGCCTGAGGGTGGTCTCCAACAACCTCGACACCGTAATCTCTGGGCCCTGTGAATGTTCCCTCGCGTGGCAAAAGGGACTTTGCAGATGTGATGAAATGAAGGACCTTGAGATGGGGAGATGATCTTGGATTATCCAAGCTCTAGATGAGCTCTAGATGTCATCACAAATACCCATACAGAGAGAAGCAGAGGGAGATTTGACACAGAAGAGAAGGCTGAGTGAGGACAGACGATTCAGAGAAGGAAGATGCTAAGCAACTGACTGAAGGAAAAGGCCACAAGCCAAAAGCTACAGGAGCCTCCAGAAGCTAGAAAGGTGAGGAAGTGGATTCTCTCTGGAGCCTCCCCAGAAGGAAGCGGCCCCGCCAACGTGTTGATTCTCAGCCCCAAAGACTCTCTTGGAGCTCCTGACTTCCAGACCTGAGGATAACTTTGTATTCTTTTAAGCCACTGAGTTTGTGGTCATTTGTTACAGCAGCGACAAGAAAATGAATACTGAACATCATTTCACTCTCAGGAAAATTGTGAAACAAGCTAATGTTCCCAAGGCCCGGGGTGAGGCCAGGTTGTCAGTGGAGACCTGGGGGGGGGGGGGGGGGGGG